TGCTTCAGATTCTGTGTCTCCCTCTCTCTGACCCTCCGCTGTTCATGATCTGTCTCTCCCTGTCTCAAAAAAAATAAATAAAACGTTAAAAAAAAACAAAAACCTGGCGTTCCCGAAAGTTGAAACCTCATGACCTTTTCTGCACCATTGCTTCCCCCTTCCACCTCCCCTCTCCGACCCGTCTCTTCGAAGAACGCCGCAGTCCTCAGCCCGCGATTACGGTGTTCCTCCCCCTCCAGCCTTTGTTGGTGTTTTCCTGGGGCCGGGAGCTGCTCACCTCGCACTGTCCGGGCTGTTGTCAAGGGCAGGGACTCGAGGCCAGTGACGCAGGGACATGGTGTCAGGGGGCGGTGGCCGGCGCCATCCTCGGCCCTGGCAGGCCTCGCTGGACCAGGGCTTTGCACACGCCCCCACCGCCCCGAAACGGAGCGTAGTGACGCTGGTTCCGGGTCACGCGCTCTGCCTGCACGCAGAGCCAGATCCCGCACGCGCAGGCGCGCTGCAAGGTGAAGTGGAGAAGTGCTCGCCCCCTACACCATCTGTGCTCGTGCGCCGTCGTACTAGATGCCGAGGCGGGGGCGGTGAAAACGTACCTGGTGCACGCAACGCCCGTGTTACGACGGGTGATGTGATTTTTTCCCCCAAAATGGTAAAGAACTTTCGGTAAAATTCTGCACAAGCAAGACACCCGTGGTTCACAAGGTGGTGGCGTCCCTGCCAAGTGTGGTGTGCACGTGGGACACACACGCTGCGCAGGACAGGTCAGGATCTCCGCTCAGAGTGAGGGCCACGGGAACTTCACCTGTGCAAACACCTGGCCAAGTGTTGGAGCTGTTTTCAGGACTCGGGATGATTCCCTGTGCTGCACACTGATCACGTGCATGGCAGTTCAGCCGGAGTCCCTGGCCTCTGCCTCCTGAGCTTGTGACAGCAAGACATGTCCCCACGGTCTCTAAACGTCTCCCTGGAGGGACCCTCGGTCGCTCTTGCTCCCGGTGCAGCTGTGGTACATCTGGCAGCGATGTGAGCCCCTTTACTTCCTGGAACGATGCCTGGTGTAGAGTAGGAATGTAAACGGTAATTTGTGTCAGGTGAACTGCCACTCCGCTCAGAGACCCCAGTAAAACAATAGAAAAGACAGTCTTAAAAACCTGTGACTCCGTCAGGTGAGAGAGGCTGGCAGGTTGGGAAGCAGGTACCACTTCCAGGATGAAGTGCAGAAGCCCGAAAGAGGCTGCGAGGCACCGGCAGGGCCCCCGGGCCCCTCTGAGCTCAGCGCCGGAAGGCAGGGCTAAAAATGGGGGGCGGCTGGGCAGGGGCACCGGAGGTCTGCTCCCAGTGAGGCTCAGGCGTGGTGGAGGGCCGGCCAGCCCTGCCTCTGGTGCTGAGGCGGTGTTCCCGTGCTGCCCCGAGGCGGCAGCCAGTTCTCTGCTGGGACAGTCCCAAGTCCAGGAGGAAGGACCTGCACGCCCCCCGAGGCTCCAGGCAGCTCTGCCGGGAGCCCCGGTTCAGTAGAATCACCAAGCATCCTGCAGCTTCTTAGGGTCTCTTGGGTGGACATCCAGGCGCTGCCCCACTGTGAGGAAAGACAGTCTACTAAGTAGCAGTGTTACCTGAGGTACAGAGATACTGGCTCCAAGAACTAGGAACACGGTGTTATTCGAAAGGAGCGTTCAGAGGGCCAGAAAGAGCGTTTAGAAGTTAAACTAGAGAGAGTAGCAGATGGAAAAGCAAACGGGTGCAGCCACTCTGGAAAACAGTGTGGAGGTTCCTCAAAAAATTAAAAACAGAACTGCCGTACGACCCAGCAATTGCACTACTAGGTGTTTATCCAAGGGGTAAATGAGTCATGATCTCGCTCTTGATGAGTTTGAACCCTGCATGGGGCTCTGTGCTGACACTGCAGAGCCTGCTTGGGATTCATTCTCTCTCTCTCTCTCTCTCTGTCTCTGTCTCTGCCCCTTCCCCACTTGCATTGTCTGTGTCTCTCTCAAAATAAATAAACTAAATAAATAAGAAGGATCGTGAATCAGAACAGCACCTGTCTCCCCTGGGTGCCTCTGGCCACCTGCCCCTGGCCCCTCCTGGCCTCCCAGTGCCCTGTTGTCCATCCAGAGAGTGTTCGTAAGTCCTTGGGCCTGAGACCTGCCCAGGATGACTCCTCCTTGTGTTTGAGCTTCGTGCGTTGAGCGCATGCACTGGGGTGGCTGGGACCCAGCCCGTGAGAGGCCCGGTCGCCCCCGGTGCCCTCGGGCAGCTGTTCCTGCCCCCGCTAGCTGATTCTGTTCTCAGTGGTTGTGCCTGTGCCGTACAAGCCACTCAGCATTTTGAATGAAGCCTCTGGTTATCATGTTTTCCAAGAGACGCTCGGTATTTATGGACTGAGGGGCTGAAGTAGGGGGAGGAGGATTGAAATTCTCCAGCAACAGATCTGGAGACCTGAGACATGTCCGAGCCGACTCAGCACTGAAGTCTGGTTGGTTCCGGCACAGGTTTATGGCAGGGAGATCCTGCCTTTCTCTTTGTACTCTCGCCTGTGTTTTCTAAGACTCTAAAAAGTACACTGTAAGTTTCTGTCCGGATTTGGGAGGTGGGGATGTGGGGCAGGGCAGTCACGAAGCTGTCTGCTTTCCGCAGGCCCCTCGCACAGGCTGCCCGGTCTTCCTCGGGGATGGGAGGGCATGGCTCCGAGCCGTCCCCGGGCTCTGCTGTGTGACCTTCCCCGAGAACCCTGTGCTCTGGGAGCCCTCTGACCTAAGCTGGGTGGGCTGTGCAGCAGGAGGGGCCGGGAGCAGAGCGGACCCTCCTTCGGTCTGGCTCCCAGCTCCGAGTGCCCATCTGCGCGGGTCCCGCTGTGCACACGGCCGGGCCTTCAGTGGAGCTGCCGGTGAGCAGAGACTGGAGACCGCCGTGGATGCGCTGCCGCAGTGGGTCGGGTGGAGCGCAGGCGGACAGGTCGGCGTGGTGCCGGTCCGCGTTGATGTCGTCTCCGGGGCCTTTCCTGGGCGCGCCCTCCTCCCTGCAGCTCCCAGCTGGGCTTCCGGGAGTTGCCTCGGGGGGACTTGGCGTCAGGGCGGCCCCTTTCCTGGGAGCCTCAGAGACGTCCTGGGCGGTGTCCAGTCCCCGAGGCCCAAGCCTGCCGGGCTGACCTCCACCCGGAGGAGATGTTGCCCAGAGGATGGGCGTCCACACCAACAACCTTTCTGGTCATCTCTGTTTCCCACATTATCCTCCTGTGGTCCATCTCACAGCAGCTGTAGAGCCAGAACCAAAAGGAGGCGAGTTTCGGGTCAAATCTGTGCTGCTTTTTTGACTGAATTACAGGAGCTTCCTCTGAGGGTCAGGGGAAGGGCAGGTGTCGAGGAAAGACGGTGGGACAGGCCTGAGTTTGCTTCTTCCGAGAAGTGTTTCTGTCACTTGAGAATGTGTACAAGACAGTCTTCTCCCTTTTCTGTGTGTTGTGGTAAAGCGTACGTAGTCGAAGTTTCTAGAAGCACAGTTCAGTGGCAGGAGGCACATCCCCGCTGTTTGGGACCACGACCGCCGCCCCATCCGCACAGCTCTCCCACGGCCCCAAACGGAAGCTCTGTGCCCACCCCTCCCCGCCTCTGGGGACCACCGTCTCCTTCTGTCCCCAGTGGCACCCGCACTGTCTTCCCGTGACAGGCGTTATGTCACTGACCACAGCATCCTCGAGGTCCATCCGCGTCCGAGCACGTGTCGGAATCTCCTCCCCTTTAAGGTACAGGACTAGTCCGCTGCGTGGACAGACCACGTTCTACCCATCCGCCGATGGGCCCACGAGCTCCTCCCGCCTTTTGGCTGCTGTGAATAGTGCTGCAGTGAGCGTGGGTGTGGAAATACATCCGTGTTTGATTCCCTGCTTTTGTTTTTGGTTATGCACCCAGAAGTGGAATTTCTGCATCATAAAGTAATTGTGTTTGATTTTTTGAGGCATCACCTGAGTGTTTTCCGTGTGTCTGCGCCCTTTTCTGTTCCTCCTGGCCGTGCACGACGGTACAGTTTCTCCACATCCTTACCAGTGCCTGTTATTTTTTGTTTGTTCGTTTGTTTGTTTTTCTATAACTGTCTGGTGCGCAGTGACATCTCGTTGTGGTTTGATTTGCATTTTTCCTGATGATGGGTGCCGTTTTCGTGTGCTTATTGGTCATTTCTGTATCTTCTTTGGAGAAATGTCTACCCAAGTCTTTGGACCATTTCTTAATTGGATTTTTTGTTGTTTTTTTCGTTGTCGTGTTTCCTTCTCTATTCTGGATATCAGCCCCTCATCAGATACGTGATGTGCAAATATCTTCTCCCATTTTGCGGATTCCATCTTCATTCTGTCAAATGTCTTTTGACGCATGGGAGCCAGGTTTAGGGGCACACTTGGGAGCTCTCCAGGCAGAGGCACAGCGAGGGTAGAGGCACCGGTGCCGGAGTGGGTGTGCCATATGCACAGTGTGAGAATTTTAAGGGTTAAAGAGGTGGAGGGAAGACAGAGCTTGTGCAGAGTTTCCAGATGGCCCACAAAGCACTAGAAGATGTTACATGTAAGCTAAGTGTCCCTGCTCCTGCCGACTTCTCTTTACATGAAAGCGTGAAAAAATAAAAACTAAAGATATGGCAAGCATAGGTCTTTCAGAAGGCTCTCCAGGGAAATGGCATTTTAGGAATTACTTTACCCTTAATAATGCTCCCAGCACGCTCCAGTTGCCAGTGCCCGGGGACTGTAGTGAGCCCAAGCCTTCGGGAGGTCGACGCACACCGAGCCTTCGGGAGGTCGACGACGGGACCTACAGGAAGTAGGTCAGCATGGAGATGAGCCATCCTCCTGCAGCCTCCCTCCCTGCAGCCGGGGCTCTTGGGGCAACACGGGGGTGGCCAGCTCGGGTTGCTGGGCTGGAGCCACAGGAAGGCTCAGGTGGGGTGCCACACCTCTCGGCCCTGGCGGGCCCGTTCCCAGGCGTCGCCTACAGCTGCCCTCTGCTTCCTTGCAGGCATCGACTATAAGACGACCACTATCCTGCTGGATGGACGGCGGGTCAAGCTGGAACTCTGGTGAGTCAGGCCGTGCCAGGCAAGGTGCCTGGGGGCAGGGGCTGCGGCACCTCAGTGTCATTGCACAGTGCCTGAAGTGAGTCAGGAACCCTTAAAGAGACAGGAGGGCGTCCTGGTTTACATTCACGTGCATAGCCATTTGCACAGACCCTATGTCAGCGTGGAATGGACTTTGCTCCGTGGCGCAGAACCCAAAAGTCCGAGCCCAGCTCCCTTTTCCCGTGGAGACTCATTCCCACAGTGGCCATGGCCCCTCTCCCCTTGCCCTTCACTGGGCTACACATTAAGGAGCATTTTCCAGAACCTCAGTGTGGAGGTGTAAAATCCCACAGGGTGGGGGGTTCTCCAGCCCGGCGGGGCAGGGTTCCAGGGAACATAGGCCCGTGGGGGTCAGCCAGGGCACGCTGTGGGGGGGGGG